CCCCCGCTCACCCTCTTCCCCAGCCCTCCCACCCTCCCAGGGCGGCCGGACAGGAGGGGAGACTTATTAGGGGCAGATTCCCCGACCCCTCGCCCCCCTCCAGGGGGTGCAGCTTTGGGGCCCAAGGTGCAGAATTTTGACAAACGTCATTAAAACTGCGGCGAGACGGGGCACTGCGTGGCTCTGGAGTCAAGGGGAGATGGAGGTGGCATTGCTGCGTCGGGAAGGCGTGGGTTACTCAACCCTGGTCTGAGGGAGAATGCTGGAGGAAGGACGCTGCTTACATGCCCCCCCACCACAGGTTTTCTCCCATCAAAGTTAAGGAGAAAGAAGGGCTGTTCGTTTACTAAGCACCTACTATGTGCTGGGATGTTGTACAGAGACCATCTCAGTCGTCTAGAAACAGTGAGGTGTGGTCCTGCAGGTAACAGATGAGGAAAGCCCCCCAGAGAAGTGGCTGTGACCTGTCCAAAGACACCTAGTCAGTGATGGTGGAGTCTCTGGCACTGACCAGCTGCCTGGCCTTGGGCAAGTCAGCTCGCTTCTCTGGGCCTCAGTTTCCTCATCTGTCAAATGAGGTTATTAGCAGAACCTACCTCAAAGAGTTGTGAGAATAAAAGGGATTCGTATGTGTCAAGTGGTTAGGACAGTGCCTGGCACATAGTAGGTGTTCAATAAATGTTAGCCTTTGCTACTATTATTATCCTTGTTGTTATTAGAACCCCAGGGTGTCTGCCTCTCATGTTTGAGCTCTGCCTTGCTCAGCTGCTCTCCCCCTTTTCCCAACATCTGCAAGGGAGGAGGAAAAAATGGTCCCAAATGTCAGCTCCTTATTCTGCCCTAAGTAGAAGATAAGGACACCCTCAGCGACTGTGGAGCCTTCCAGAGTCTCAGGCCACGTTAATAGGACACCTGACAGGAGTCCCAAGAGAAGACAAACTGGGCAGCTCTAGGACTCGGTGGGGTGGAAGGGTTGGCAGGAGACAGAAAGGTCAGAAGCCACTGGACACCTTATCTGTCTAGTCTGGGAACCCATCTATGGACTCCATCTATGAACTCCAAATTAAGAACCCCTGGACTAAGTTGTCTCTAAAAGTTTCCGGCTTTAAACCATATATGATTATAAAATGTAGGTTATTTGTCCTCCCACCCTACTCCTACCCCCCAAGTGATTCATGGGATTTGTTCATTCCACGTTGATCTGGTATGAATTTCAGCTGGGTATTTTTCATCAAGGTCC